TTATTACTAAGCAGTTTTTTGTACAGTAACATAATAACATTTCTGAGATGCATGGGGTTTCAGCAACAAAGGCATTCTAGGTCAAATTTGACACATACCGTCTTTTTAATCAAATTTAAAGACATGAAGTGTAAAAATGTTATTCTTTTCCTTTTTTTTTGAGACCACAGTGATCTCGACCTCTAACCAAGAAACCACATCAAAGCTCCATCCTGCCTGATATCAATGGTTCAGGCTGCTGCTGGGGTAACAGTGTGGGGGATATTTTCTTGGCACACTTTGGGCCCCACTTTGGCTACTAACTGCCCATCTTTTAAACACCACAGCCTCCCTGAACATGGGATGTGGTGGAACAAATGAGTCATGGATCAGCTGTACATCATGGATGTACAGCTGATCCATGACTGTGTGATACTCTGTTGTCAACACGGACCAAATTGTCTGAGAAACGTTTATTGCAGTTTCCTAAATATATGACAGGAAAAATCACAGAAACTCTGAGAGCAAAAGTTGGTCCGAGTAGCATATAACTAATGAATATTAGAAATGTCCTGTCTCAGAGTGACGCTGAAAAACTACTTCATGCATTTATTACTTCTAGGCTGGACGACTGTAATTCTTTATTATCAGGATGTCCAAAAAACTCCCTGAAAAGCCTTCAGTTAATCCAAAATGCTGCAGCAAGAGTCCTGACAGGGGCTAGAAAGAGAGAGCAGATTTCTCCTGTATTGGCTTCCCTTCACTCCCTGAGCCTGGTTCTGCTGTAGGTTTCTTCCTGTTAAAGGGGAATTTTTCCTTCCCACTGTTACACCTTGAGGAAACTCTTGTTGTGATTTGGTATTCTAACTAAAATGTAACTGATTTTTATCCATATTTTGTATATAGAACACCTTCTATTCATTTCCAGATTGATATTCCTAAAATCTGCTAGAGGACTTTGATTGAATCACGGTACAAAATGTCGTTTAGGAAGCATGAGCTTTTATTTCACAGAGACTACTTGTACACACACCTCGTTATCTGAAACCCTCTTCTTAAAAATGGTAAACACAGTCCCTTTATGTAGACTTTCTATATATATATGACAAATAAACCTTGTCTTACGTTACAAGTGTTATAAGCTGTTAACTGATTGAACTTTTTTAATTACGTAAGTGTAAAATTTTCTTCATCTTATAAGCGACCTAGATTGGGGTGGTGGGTGTTATTGTTGCCCAGCTGCTTGCAGTAAATTGTGTTTGAAGATTGAACCGATAATGCTGTGTGTTGCACTGCAGGTCTGCAGCCTTTGTTGATGCTATCAGTGAAGCTTGAACTCTAGCCATCGCTGAGGGGTGGTCACACACACACACAGAGACAACGGATGACTTAAGATAAGTACACGTTAACACAGAAACAAGCGCAAGAGCTAAAACCTCACAGATGTTATCACAACGACAGATCAGCTTGTGGTTTAACTACGTTCCGATAAATGCAGACTGGTGCAGGTCGTCTTTGTTCGTTTCAGATTAAATCCCCCTACATGCTTTCTAATGTGCTTACGAATGTCAGTGTACCCCAGAATTACACATGAGTCATGGCATACATGCCAGTAAAATGAGCTAATATAAATTTCCTAAAGGTGACAGCGAGGCCTGTGGCACACACCAGCAGTCACTGTTGGGTTCGTGATCTTTGTATCTTTCTTCAGCTGTTTTTAGTCAACGTAAAGATTTTACTTGGTGTCAAAACAAAAAAAATCCTCACAGGTGTAAAAATTACAGTTTCAGAAGCTGAAATGTACCGAAATAACTTCGAGTGCAATGTTTACAGTCGTGCCTAAAAAAATGGAGTAAACCTGATGAGGTTAGTAGATTTATATACTGTATATTGTATGGCATTATTAGACTAATACAGAAGCATTAATTGATTGATTCAACTGAATTTTGCTCCTTCAGGTGGAGCACGTTTTGATCATTTTGTATACAATTAAGGGATTTAGTCAGGTTGTGAGCAAAAATTTGGTCCCCGGTTGAATCAGCACATGCAACCATCTTTTCATAGAAGTTGCTCTCGCGTCTGCTGGTGAAACTACTCAAACCTGCTGAAACGTGGGCTTGTTTTAAAAATACACCAAGGCAGAAGTGGTGCTGCACCAACCTGTTTTAAAAGGTAATTCAGTTCTAGATTTTGCTGTTTCTCTGGTTATTATCTCTGAATACCTTTTACCATTTTTACAGATTCAAAGAGTTGTTCAAATGAAAACAAGAGACTGAGAAACACTGGATGACAGTTTTTTTAAGATCTGTATTTAATGAGATTATAAAGATCTTTTTACAGCTTTGAGCTTGAGGCAGCAGAGTAAAAAGCACTTTTGTATTATTATTTCTTTACAGTTCTTGCCCTGCACAAAAC